CGGTGCCACATTTATTAAATCATGTGGCTGATAGTGAAACCGCACAGAGACAGCAGGTCTCATATTGACCACATTATTCACACCTATGTCAACAATTACTGCTGCTTTCATAGAGATGGAGGAGACGTGATGAAGGGACAAAAATATAATTTAAGAAGTAACGATTCTGTGGATTCAATTATAGGTGATTCTGCTTAAGTTAAATGTAACCTTTTCCTTCTTTGTGTTCTTTTTCACAGAAATGAGTGCATCAAGGGGAAAACTTTCCCAGTGATCAGACGTGGGTCCAGAGTTGCATTTCAGTGTGGAAAATTTTCTCATGTCAGTACTCTAAAATGTGACTTAAATGTTCGTCCTTAATGAATTAAGCTTATTAGATTTATTTATATGTTGTAACTCCGGTGTGTTACTTTTCAAAGTAAAATTTCTTTAAAGGGGAATTTAACTTGTTTTAGATCATTCAATGTTAAAGATGTGATTATGTGAAGATAGAAAGGGTGAATAAATGATATTCATTCACGTGTGTGTCGAGCGAAATGCCTCTCCTGCATACGTCTGTTTTCCCAGACAACAACCTAGAAAAACAAATGTATGGATATATTTTTTAAATAGACATGTGCTTTAGCGTATATTTATTACTTATATGTGAAATGATTGTTTTAAATTGCACCATTTCACCTTAGACCAAGGAAAAAGCTTGATTATCTTTGGTTTGAATCTCAAAGGATGAAACAGCCCTGAAATTCATGTCCAAGGTTTTGTACATAAACATGCTAACATGCTGATGTTTAGCAGGTTGGATGTTTACCATGGTGAGCTTCTTACCTAAATGTGCTACTACTTAAAACATAGTTTGGTTGGATCACCAAAGTCATTACTACTCCTAAGGTGAATATGAAATTCTATGCAAAATGTTCTCTTAATGTATCTGATAGTTGTCATGATTTTATCCTGTCTCATCTTATCTTAAGTAATTAATACTGCGGCTAATGTGCCTAAAAGAAAAGCTTCAAATGAACTGAAATAGCAAGTGGATTTACACTCCACACATTACTGGAATAAAGGGCAAATTAAAGAAGATGGTGATTCATCACCTTGATTAATATTGCTCTCTAAACCTCACCATTAGCTAGATTGGGCCACACTCTGGCCAATAAAATTAAACTAGAGGGCCACATTTTACAATCTATCTCACCACAAGAATTCCTACTCAGCCATGCCTGCACCCCGAACACATACCATACCTTCCTTAAGGCTGAGGAATGAGGGCCAGATCACACACTTCCCATGCTCCCCCGCACTGTCAACTTCCTGTTTGTTTATAGAGCTTCATATTTCCACGCTCCCACACTGAGATTCTACTCTCTATATGTGGATTCATTTCTTTAGGAAACCTAGAAAAAATTAAGCCAAAGATGCAAACAAGTGCTGAATAATAGAAATGTAGACATGCCACAGGACCTTTAGCATGTTACTGGGATGTTTTTGTTTATTTTTCAGTTTCTCAGGATAGTTTTCTCTCTTTAGTGTACCAGCATCAGTGACTCACTGACCATTCAGAGCCTGAGAAAACAGAGAGGGTACATTCCTCAACCAAAGCTCAGGGCTGATATGGAGACAGCGCTGCATCATATCAGGTGATTCAGCTGTGTGAATCACAGACAGATCAGTAGATTTCCCCTGAACTGTGACATCAGTTATCAATGAACCTTACCGTATGTGTTCAGTATGAGCAAAGACCAGTGAATACTTTCTTACTTACATTAGTAACATAACGATGTACAGCCTGTCCATGTCCTGTGAAAGAACTACATAGTAAAAGTATTTTTGCTTAGTTAAAAAGGGTCAAATAGATTGAGGTTAGGTCACATTATCGATCTATTTTATAAGTTTCATACTTGTTGATGTTTAAGATGTTTAACATCAGCTCATCTTGAGCATTATCAAACAAATGTGAAAGAAACAGTTGGTCAAAATGCTGCATGCTTCAGGAGCCTTAACCCTATAAGGTCAAGCATCAAAAACATTGCTACACTTTGCATAATGCAACTGGATAAGGCCTTTAACGTGCCATTCCTGAGAAAGTACATAACCCCTAGCAGGGTCTTTTTTAGGGATAGATTTCTAACCCAGAACTACATTTCTACCCTGGTAGATCTGTTGGAAACACACTATAGTTCCTCAAAAAGACCATTGTTCTGGGGGATAGCTCCTCCAGTCGAAACGGGGCTCTTGACAGACAAATGAAAAAAAAAAGAAAAAAGGAGCGGCTAGTGGTTTGATTACCATCTCTTCTTGTCCATATGTCAAAGTGTCACTGAGCCAGACGAACCTCAACTTCCCCTTGAGGGACATTGAATTTCAAATAAATTTGCACATCATTGCATACTGTATAATTGCAGTCCTTCGGCTGGGTCTTGGTGGAGTGCCTAACATAAGCTGTTCCATTTTCAGGGGGTGGGGTCTATGAGGGGTTGTGTGGAGTATCTGAATACACCTGCCTACACCAGAAACAACAAAGAGGGCTTATTCTGCAGGGTTTGGAGGGGAGAGGGGATGGTTCAATCTAATTATAGACTCCAGGGGAGATGACTTCATTGAGGTGACGCCCGACCCTAGGGGAGCATTTCTCTGTCTCCCATCAAATAAGGGGCATGCCTCTGAAACGACTGTAGACGGGTCTGTTCTGAACATTTGTCTGGTTATTAAACAGCTACACGGTACAAAGTCAAATAAACAGTTTTTATAGAGTACTGATCTGCCAGTGTCTGGGACTGTAGTAATGTGAGTCTTCAAGTCTTAGTGACTTCCTTTGGACCTCCACGCTTGCCGTAGTATCTCAGTAAGTGGTCCCGTCCTCAGTGCATTAGTCTCTGGGTTTCTTTGCGGTTAGAACATCCTTTTTACACAAGCTCAGGGGCTGCAGAGATGGTACACTGACAAGCTCTCAGACACTATCACGCTGATAACCAAATTACAGGCCCGTGGACGTCGTCCCTCTTCTCATTCCCAGGACAATTAGCCGAGTCTGAGAGAGGCCTAATGAGCCAGAGAGCTGCAGCCATTTGTTCTATCTGCAGTTCAAATCAGCTGCCATTAGCAAAAAGTGACCATCCCTCTTTCAATCTTCTTCAAATTGTGACAAAGGGGGCAGCGCGGGAGAGGAAATTACTGTATTGACAGTCATTACAGCTAAAGTGGTTTGAGACTGAAAAACAGTATTTGTAAAAGTGTGTGTGTGTGTGTGTGTATATGAACACAGAGACAGGCCAGCAGGCATATGCAGGTGTTTTGAACCCAAATTACCAGAATGAACTGCTCTGTGTTTACATGTCAGACAAAGACAAACTGTTGTTCTTATTACACACTGCAATATCTGCAACTCTCATACCACTTTAAAGCTTTTGTGAACATAATGACATACAGTTTGACAGCAAACATGGGTTTCAAACTGCTGCCTTTGGTCTAATGACTATTTTTTTGTATTATTTAACTGATGTACAACAGGGTATTATTCACTAAAAAATATACAAGAAATGAACATGTTCCAGGCGTACAATTACAAATACTTTACTGAATATGTTTGGGTACATAAGGACATAACGTATAACTGATTAATCCTCAGCAGCATTTACAATTTAATTGTATTTTTTTTTCCTCTCAATTTGCATTTCTAACACATTCATTTAAAAAAATAGATATTCATTAAAAGCATCCAAATTCAGCAGGCCTCTGTTTAATTTAAATCAATGTTTGTTCTGAAATGATCAGGCTGTCATATCACTCTTCATAAGGTATTGAAACGCCATCTAGTGCTCGTTTGAGGAATGGGCCATAAAAAAACAAAATTTAAAAACCACCTTTACAAATGTATAGAATGTCACATCAACATTTTAACTTCATCATGGAAAGAGCTAGCTAGGTAGGATAGATGATAAGTTTTATGGTTTAACGTTGACATGTAACCATCATTCTAAAATGTTTAACAGACAGACACAGAGCTGGGACCTACAGCTACTATTATAAAACAAACTATTCCTGAAAGGGCTGCTTTGTTGTTCTGCCATGCCAATTACAATGTGAATTGTTCTCAACCTATATGATGCATTGTTGTAGTAGCCTATAGCAGCATTTTGTGACATTACGTCATAGTGGCTCTCTTTATTTCTTAGCATTTACTTATACCTTATGTTTACTTTAACTTGTTTTATTTTATTTGACAGGAATTTATTTTTGGATTGGTCTGAATGATGTGATGTAAAGACACTCCAGCCAGCTCTAAACTGTTTGTACACAATGTGGAAATAAGCTGGAGTGTTACAATTATTGGAAGACTCTTTTTAATTGGACTATATTTGTTGTCTATCAACATTATTAAATACGATTAAAATGAGATTTAAATTCAAAGAGTGACATCTGGTGGCCGAAAACTGAAACACATTTTACATTTAAACACCATTTAATAAATGCACCTTTTTTAGATTGTGAACGGAAATCTTTTGAACGTGTTTGTAGACTGTAACTTGTTTTTTGTTTCATTAATAAAATAGACTTTCTGATACCCCGCCCCCTACAAATTGACATAACTCATTTATTATCATTACATTTTGCTTCGGATTTTGCAAAGCGTTTCATTTTGTTTAATGCCTTTAATGGGGCCATTAATAAAGGAGTGATGTTCAATAAAGTAAAAAAAAAAAAAAAAAAGATTAATTGTTTTAGAGCAGATTGAATTGAACATATTGGCCTACTCCAGCACACATCATTTGTTTTCTTCTTTTTTCTATTATTAAGTTCTAAGACTTCATGTTTACGGTCTTTATCTTTAAAAAGTATAATTTGATGGAGTTTAACCACATACAGAGCAACGCAGGAATAACCATAGACTGTAAATATTAATATAAAAATATTAATAACCACCTATCATAGAGCAGCGTTGAGATGAACCGGGCGGGCTTTAGGACCCTGCGGATAATCGACAATCACATGACGGTGCAGGAGACGCGGACAGACCAGTGAAAGACAATGTTAGGTACTTTACGGACATGCTTTCCTGAAGGCAGCACTACTGTAATAACAGAGACGAAATCACAGTAACTGAGTACAAATTAGTGATGAAATAGAGTTAGGCTGTGTTCTCGCGGGAAGGCAGCGGACATGGCTGCTGGTGTGTTGCTCTTCGTTGCATGTTTGGCTTTCGGTGGAAACTTGGTAAGAAACTTGGACATGACCTGTTTAATAACGTACAAGTCACCTGATCACTCACAGGGACTGCAGTTTATAAACCAGTTATTACCACTTTATTATGTTTATATAGTTGGAAAATTCACCTTAAATGAAATGCATGTATGAGGTCTACAGTCAGAAGTATTTCCCCTGCAGACAAATTGAATTCAATATACTACTTAATGCCATCTCTTGCAGGTCTCAGGGGAAAGGTCGTTCTCTATAGACTACAAAAACAACTGTTTCCTGAAAGATGGGAAGCCTTTTCAGTACATCTCAGGCAGCATCCACTACTCCAGAATCCCTCGGTACTACTGGAAGGACCGGCTGATGAAGATGTACATGACTGGACTCAATGCCATCCAAGTGTAAGTTCAGCATCCCAAACAGGTCTGCTCTTAACACACTGCTGTTGTTTTACTACTTTCACTCGGCCTCCTCACAGATATGTGCCCTGGAACTACCATGAAGCCGTACAAGGGGTCCAAAACTTCACTGGGGACCGAGATCTAGAGCATTTTTTGGATCTGGCAAATCAGACAGGTCTCTTAGTCATCCTGCGTCCAGGACCATACATCTGTGCAGAATGGGAAATGGTGAGAAATTTGACTTTCCACAGTATTATTAGCAACAATTTTATGTTATATTGTCCAACTACATCTCTTAAACTTCAGAAAGTTTGCCGTTCTAAAAAGGTTATTTGTAGAAAACGTAAAAAATGCAATAATGCTGATCGATAAGTAGTGCAGATGTTCCAAATGGTTTTTTTGGGACACTTAGCAAACTGATCACATTTTTCAGACAAAAGGTTCATCCATGATTTATAGGTGTGGAGTTACAATCAAAATAAGTCCTCATATAATTGTATTCTTTGATGATAAGTGAGTGTAAAAGTGTGTGTTAGTATTTTGACAATATGGATCATGATGTCAGTAAAGCATGCAATATTATAACTCTGGATGTGGTGGAATGCTAAATTCAGAGGACGGATGTCATATTTGTTTGAGGAAGCAGCTAATGCTGATCATATGATAACACACAGGATGTTAGTCATCTTAGAGAGAAAACAGAAACATTATCACCAGCACATGTTGTCAGTGATATTGTGCACATGAGAAAAGATGGCCCTTTCATGGATTTTTATCATAAAACAAATGTTTTCGTCTTGCTCAGGGGGGGCTGCCAGCCTGGCTACTTCAGAAACCAAACATCGTACTCCGCTCAGCTGACACAGGTATAACATGCACCTACTTTGCGCACCTCTTCCTCTTTTCTTTTCAAAGTAATACTTAACACTTTTTTTTTCAGATTATCTCCAGGCAGTCAGCAACTGGCTCGCTGTCCTTCTCCCCCAAATAAAGCCTTGGCTGTACATCAACGGGGGAAACATCATCACAGTGCAGGTTGAGCTTTAAGTGGATTGTATTTTTATTTTTTTTAAATCATGTAGTATTTAAAAGATTAAAAATGAATAATTATCTTGGTTTACAGGTCGAGAATGAATATGGAAGTTACTACGCCTGTGATTACAACTACATGCGTCACCTTCGGACTCTGTTTCGCTTCTTTCTGGGTGAAGACACGGTCCTGTTCACCACTGACGGAAACACAGACAAGGAGATGATATGTGGAACTCTGGAGGGATTATATGCCACTATAGACTTTGGCACAGGTCAGCACTAATATATAACAGATATTAATCATCATGGTTAAAGTAATGGAAAGGGAAAGTTTAGAATTTTCTTCTATGCATTCCTTTTTTACAGAAAACAACATAGCTGAAGCCTTTAAACGGCAAAGAAGGTTTGAGCCTCGAGGACCCCTGGTGAGTAACACGTTCATTCATTAAATTAAATATAACGTCTTTTTAAATGCTTCATCCATCGTGATACTACAAGTGATGTTTGAAATGGTATTGCAGGTGAACTCAGAGTTTTACACCGGCTGGTTGGACCACTGGGGAGATCAGCATGCTGTGGTTAATTCTCAGAAGGTCAGCAGAGTGCTAGGAGAAATGCTAACCATGGGGGCCAACGTCAACATGTATGTCTCCCCACACACTTTAAACGTCTTCACACGTTCTGATTTGAATTGTCCACAAATCAACGAAAAGAAAAAAACAAATGAATAAAATGCTTCTGACCTTTTTGACATGCAAACACATTTAGTCCTTTTAGAAGAAGAAAATAATTTATGTTGTGTTTTTATTACTATGGAGGAACTTTCAGTGGAACAATGTGAACCACTGATTTTGTGTGACCAACTTCTCATTGAATCATTCAACTCAAACTTTTTTACAAACCGTTATTGTCTTGATAAAGAAAAACAAGTGAAAAAAAAACACACATACAATAGATCATGTGTCTGTTGGTTTTTACATTGTTTCAAAGACACATTTTATTGGAAAAAATAAGAGCAAGAACATGTGTAAGAGACAGAAAGCATGAGTGAAATACAAACCCTCTCCAGTGGATGTCTGAGCCTTCAAATGTGAGTGTGACAGGCAGGTGAAGTCGGGGTTTGTGGACAGTGAGAACATTTTAGAATATGTCCAATCTTAAAGTCTAGGATGAATCAGTGTTTCTGCTGTGTAACAAAGTCTCCCGGTTACTTTAAACATAATGCTGGGTTGTCTCCCCCCCAATAATAAATACTATCATTATGCTGGTTGTGGATTTTTATGTAAAGCCCATTCAAGAACTTGTCTGAATCTAACTTTCGTTTTAAAATACTTTGCGGTGTCACTTCCTTTTGGAAAGAATAATTGCCACCAACTTAGATGAAGAAGCACAACATCATTTATAATGGAAATAAATGAGCTCTAATGAAGAGAGGAATAATATAAAACCCTAGATTCACTGTACTTACTGTATACATTTTGAAATGACTGAGGGATCCTATGTATTTGATTTGTCTAGTCCTCATTTGTGTCTGTTTTAAATGTATTACCTGGCTGTTTTGATGTGAGGTTCTGTTGTGTTTTCATCATACTGTCAGTACTGTTAAAGTGTGCTGAGTTTGCCTGTACTCAAAGAATAAAGTCTTCCTCTTTCTCTTCTCAGGTACATGTTTGAAGGAGGCAGTAACTTTGGCTACTGGAATGGTAAGTCAATGGTTTCCATAATGAAGTCTCTCTCAGTTCATCTCGTGTGTTTCTAAAGGGATAAAAGCTCAGTGTGTGGTTCTTCCACTCTTTGTAAAAGGTGCTGATCATGACACGAGGTTCCGCTCAGTAGTGACTAGCTATGATTATGACGCCCCGCTGTCTGAGGCCGGAGACCCCACAGAGAAGCTTCTGGCCATCAGAGATGTCATTAAGCAGGTACTCGATGTGCTACCCCCACTGAGGGCAATGTTCTGATTACACCCGTTCATGTGTCTGAAATAAGAATAAAATGTTGTTTCTCTACAGTTTAGAGACATCCCCTCTGGCCCCATGCCACCAGCAACCCCTAAGTTTGCTTATGGCTTTGTGACCCTAAAAAAGGTAAATGTCACTCCAGGTTTGATATTAGCGAGTTGCTATATAATTATATAATAAACACACTTTTTCCAGGTTGGAAACATCAGCAGCCTGCTGAACACCCTCTCTCCACTCGGCCCAGTGAAATCCCAGCATCCTCTGACGTTTGAAGAAATGAAACAGGTATGAACGCAACAACAGTAGCTGGGGACTTGTGCTTCGGTAACAATAAACCTCTTGAAACGTGGAGAACTTCTAGACTGTTGTATCTGCAACCCGTCATGTCTTTTGTGTTCAGTTCTATGGGTACATGCTCTATCGGACCAGGCTGCCCAGGGACCTCCCGCAGCCCACGCCACTTATCTCTCCGCTGAATGGGGTTCATGACCGTGCATATGTGTCCATCAATGGGGTGAGCCTTTACAATGAACTTTTGTTGTCTAGCCAATCAGATGTTCCAGTCATGTACAAGGAAAACATTACAGATGAAGACCAAACATGCTTGTTTTGAAAATGTCAGCTTAACAGAGTGTGCGTCTGTGTGGACAGGTTTACCAGGGCCTGCTGGAGAGAGACACCGTGCTTGTGACAAACGTCACAGCACAGCAGGGGGACACTTTGGACATCCTGGTAGAGAACATGGGCAGGGTGAATTTTGGAAGCAGGATCAATGACTTCAAGGCAAGAGATCAAAGTCCAATACAGTGGAAAGAAATCTTTAAATCACCACTCACAACAACTTGTCAAGAGCCTGTGTTTTGTTGACATGCATTTCTAAGCCAAATGTAGTGTTTTTTACTCTAAAGAATATTCAATATTTCCCTAAAAATATCAAAAATGTTGATGTTTTTAGCTTCCTTTCGGATGCAAGGTAGGTAACAAAATACATACAGTCATTTTGGTTAGTAACTAAAATGAGGACATTACTATGTAATTAAAATCATACCAATAAAATGTGCTTTTCATTTAAGAAACTTAAGGGAAACATTATTTGCATACTTGAGAAATTGTGATGTAACAGGCTAGTATGCTCTCTCACTGCCAGGGATGAATTGCTACTTTGCTGCTATGACAGAAATGGAAATTTTCCAGTAGAAAAAAATAAAAAGGACAATCTTTATTCTGCTGGGCTTGAGAAGGGGTGCTTGGGTCTCAAAAGTAAAAACAGAATAGTCTAGTTAACAGATGATTTGTGTACTGCAGGGCCTCTTGAGCGACCTGTTTTTGGGTAAAGACTTACTGACTGACTGGCTGATCTACCCTTTGGACATCGATGGAGCCATTGCTTCTGGTTGGCCTCATTCAGACAATAAGAAGTCCTCCACTAACCCCCGAAAGATCCTTCAGTCGGACCCATCTTCTACTCGGGGACCTTACAGCCTAATGGACTTTCTTGGGACACCTTTCTGAAGCTTAACGGATGGACAAAGGTAATTTAGATTCTCCCCCTGTAGACAATTTGATGCAGAAAAAAATACATAATTCCTTTTATGTTTTTTTACATTCCACCAGTGAAATCATTTTCTTTCTTTCTTTTTAGGGTCAGGTTTGGATTAATGGTATGAATCTGGGACGGTACTGGCCTGCCAGGGGCCCTCAACAGACTCTTTATGTTCCTGGACCTCTGCTCAGCACCACCCAGCCCAACAACATCACAGTGCTAGAGCTGGAGGGGGCCCCCGCACACCTCCGGGTCCTTTTCATGGACCGGCCTGAGCTAGACCTCCCACCTGGAAAGTCCTGACATAGTTGGAAACTTTACTTGTAAATATAATCATTCTTTAAAATCAGTTTGAACCCTCCAAACAATAAACTACCAGACGGTTTTACTGAAGCAGAGCAGAAGTTTTCCTCTGAACGTTTTCCCTGACAGGAGGAAGTTGTTTGTTCCGCATCATTTCTATCGCACAACTATTGTTCATCACTTCACATATCAGTGTTTCATTAGTCTTCATCAGTCACTATACAACTTTCAGCAACTTTTATCTTACACACAGAAGCTTCAGTCAAACAATAATCCAACAACGATTTAGGATTCAAAGTTGAATACACATGGACACCAGGAGGGGAAACATTTGTATTTACTTACAGTCAATCAGAATGTATTGCTTGTTTTTATTGCAGATTTTGTTAATACATTATTTTATGATTTTTCAACTCTGTGTTTTCTTTCCACTTGTCTGTGATCGTCTGTCACAATAAAATGTGGTTTTCAAATGTATGCACTTTTTTTTGTACATTAGCATGAAGTAGCTATGTCACTCCTAACAAGGCTTAGTTTTTATGAGGTAGCTTGCTTCCTACCAAAAATGATTTTCAGGTCTTGCCTTGGAGGCTATTAGCTTTTCGATGTGCTTGGACACAGCCAGGTGTGCAAAAGGAATACTCGAGGTACTGAAACGGGATCTTCCCGAGCAGAGACTCTCCACACAGCCAGCACCGCCTGATGACAAACCCAAAGAAAAAGCCCTTAGTACATGAGTCACACTTGGGACCTTTTTCACATTGACCCTCACTTATCAATCTGGTGTAGAAACCAGCGCAGATTTGAGTGTAGAAATCATCGTTATCACAGGGTCCACCGTGGGACCTATGAAAGGCGCTTATCTGGCTGAACGCAGCGTACGCATGACCGGGTGTTGATAAGTGTGGCGGCTGGAAACGATCGTGATTTAAATACCACGCCCTTAAATATTCACTGTTCAGCTCGCCCAAGAGTTTACGGCATGGAGATATGTAACACAGCAAAGAAGAGAAACGAGATATGACCTGACACCATAACACAGAGAAGTAAAGAGCAATAACATTGTGTTGTCTGGCAGCCTGAAACGTAGGATTAAAGGGTGTCAGAAGAAATACGTCTGCAACAAAATCTCAACCGCTTTGGTGTGGATAACCGAACCCAAGCGGTGGTTTTAAATTATTAATTTAAACATCTGTGACGTGTAACGTAAATAATCTAGGCTATAATATAATCACAAGTTTTTAGTTTCAGTTTAAACGTGGTCAGGCCATAAGATCGCTACAATATAATGTGTAACGGCTCTTGTGACCGTACACCCATTTTTCTGTCATCGATTATTTGATAGGTGAGGGCCATTGTGAGTATATTAAAAAAAGATGTTGGTACTTAGAAGACTTACTTGACATTTGAGAGGTTGACTCCTGTTGCAGCTACTTGCTCAGCTAGCCTCTTCTCTGCAGCCAAAGCTCTCTACATTCAAAAAGAAAACAGTGACATGTTAAAGGTGTTTAAAAATGTTTGGGGCGGCAGTAACTCAGTTCATAGGGACTTGGGTTGGGAACTGGAGGGCCCCCAACTGCTCAGGTGCGCTCCCCGCTTAGCTACTCTAACATCTCTCCACCAAGGCATACCCACAGGTCCTGTTTGTGCATGTGTGTGATTGGAGCCTGTGTGTGTGAGAAGCATGTCCTTAAAAATAACAGAGTGTAAACCCGAGTTTCCCCTCAGGGATTAATAAAGTATATCCAAATGAAAAAAAAGTAACTTAAATAGCAGATTAAATACACATTGACTCACCTTTTCACGATCACTCAGTGATGCAAACTTCTTCTTTTCCTCCACCTCCTGCTCTCGTCTCCTCTTTTCCTCTCTCTGCTCTTTCTCTCTCTGTTTTTTTAAAGCCTTTTGGGCTTTTTTCTTCTCCGTCTGCTTGGATTCAATCTCCGCCGTCAGTGGCCCAGGGACCTTGGTTTGCACAAGTGAAAAAAATGAATAAGTTCTCTGCTTTTAAAGAAAGGGATTAAAGTCAAAAGTCAGACTAGAGGCTCTTACCTGTGCCTTGTTGTAGTCATACTTGTCAGGATTCTCACCCATATATTTACGAAAAACGTTCCTTGTGTCTTTGTCAGGCGCGACAATATACGGGGTCTGCCCTTTCTTATCCCTAGAAAAAGATAATGCAGAAAATAAAGTTTCGCTGCATATCCTAGAAATGATCTCACATCAATCTCACTTTATCTAGATGTGCCTTTATATTTGGCTACCTGCAGGCTGGGTCTGCTCCTGCGTCCAGCAGCAGCTTGACCACCGCTTTCTGTGCAGCTGATGAGGAAACATGTAGCAAAGTGAACCCTGATGAGTCTATGGGCTTATTCAGCAGTGCAAGAGGACTTGGGACATCGGGGGGCTTGCACTCCGATTGCTCTCGAGTCTCTTCCGTTTCATTAGTTAGCTGGAGAAGCCTGCAGAGAGCGTCAACATCCCCAACCTTACAGGCTGTAAACAGGGAATCCTTCAAGCCGTAATCCCATGACTCATCGGCTTTTTCTAAAGAGACGACAAAGAAGGCTTGATGATAAACATCTTAATGTTGATAGAGATATCATGTTTAAAGAGTGGCATGTTTCAATGTTTAAATCCAGGTGCAACATAATGAACAATAATGAGAAGGAAGCACATTCTCACCTTCCTGTTGTTTCTTACTCTCCGCTTTCCTCTTTCTTTTGTCCTTTGACTGCGTCTCTTGAGGAGATTCTCCTTCTGGTGAAGCCTCCAGCACCTCCTCTTCTTGATCTTCTGTCTCTGTGTTACTCAAGTCTGCCACACATGGAGGAGATATTTCACAAATCTTGCAAACTTTGGAGAGACAAATGAGGGATTCCTTAGGGTTCTATTGTGTCATTTTGGCCATACATGACCTGACTTACCTACAGTCTGCATTTTGCTTTCCTCATTTTTTCTCCTTCTCCTCCTCTTCTTGTGCCTGGGGGGATAGATCTCAGACTCCCTGAGGTCCAGAGTTCCTAAAGTCAGCTCCACCATCTCCAGCTGGATCTCTCCATCCTCTTCTTTATCTGAGCTCTCACGGTTTTCTTCTCCTGGTTCTAAAAATGTAACAGTAAATAAAACGTAACAGTAAATAAAATGTGCAACTTCAGGCCTAATTTAATAAACAGAAGAGTCCAAGTCTATAATATGCATGTTCACTTCTAACCTTTCTCTTGATGAGTATTTATTTCAGCAGGGGGTTTGATTTTCTTTTTCCAGGCCTTCTTAGATGGACTGAAGACAGCAGACATGTCTGTGTCTTTCCCTGCATCAACACATTGTTCACAGAGTATTGATTATACCCTGACTCTGCGACAGTGAGCAGAAGAAACTTATCATTATACCAAGGATATAATTCAACTTACCATAAATATGGACAGAGGACAGCATGTCATGAACTCTCTGGGCCTCTCTGAAGGTTGCCCTGCGCGTGGCAAAGGGAAGTGTACGGACCCGGTGATCTTTTTTGTCAAGTGGGGCTGCACGTCCGGCAAAAAAGATCGTTTTGTTGTAGCTAGGGGCTCTGACAAATATTGCAGAGGCCTCCTTTAAGTATTCAGCCCAGCTGACCAGTAGATCCTGAACGTCCTGTAAAATGTTATTAAAATGTGTGTAAGCACGTGGAAAACTTTCTCTTAGAGTTGATGTGTAGTCAAAACAGTTGAAAACGACAAGTGGCAAGAATACAGAGTACACTAAGATTCATAATGTTTACAAGATATACTCTCACTTAAGAATTTTCTTAATTTAAAATACTCACTGAGCAAAAAATAAAATAAGCAATATGTGTTTATTAAGAGAGTTTTCAGTTGTTAGCAGTTGTATTCTCTCAAGTGCTCTACAGCAAATTTCCCTATTGGAAAAGGCATAATGACAATATTACACCTCTTTCTGGGAACAGGTAGCTGTAAGGCTTTGTGAATGCGTCAGTACAATATCAGAATAAAAGCCAATGACAAGAACTTGGAAATTAAAATAAGAGAAAAATTAAAGGAGCAGAAATGATCATCATGAAAACACAAACGATCAGTAGCCATCAGACAGAACGGCAGTCTTTAGGAGGTAGCTTCATTTAACAATAAACAAACTTTACAGCTATCATAGTCATAAAAAGTGTTGTATGATGAACTTTAATCTTGCCTTGACGAGCGCCGCCTCGTTGTATCGCCTCAGAGCAGCTCCTGCAGATTTGGGCGCGTGACTGCGGTTCTGAGAGTCTCTGAGTCCTTGAGCTGTTCCTCTCTTCGCTCGCACCGTGTATCGGTGGAAAGTCTTGTGCTGAATTACGTCTTTTCTGCAAAATAAAGATTGTATTGGCAAGATGTTTAAACCTCTCAAACTGACAGTGCCATCCACTGTATGTAACCCTTAGACCCTGTTAACAACTATTCTTTACAAGTGTCCTGAGTGGATTAGTCACTGATGTTTTTTTATAATGACGATGATGGATACCCATTTTAAGATGACAGACGTGGCTGTCCACTAGTGAACAAATCACTTAGGACTGATGTTAATATCAGGTGTAAAGAGGATTTAAGGGGATGAAAAAATGTGTCTACTCACCCCTGGAACACAGTACCAGCAAAGTGGCCTCCACCTGTCATGAGAACGACCCACACAGTCTTCTTACTTATCCCCTTAAGCAGGGACACTGTATCTAGATCATCGTTTGACTGAAATGTAGCAGAAATAAAAGATGCAATTAGAATTTAAAGAATCGATAATAGGTCTGTTGATTCACAGATCATAAACTGTGATGTTATTTATCAGCTCAGCTTTACCTTTCCCTGCAGGATACAGCGGTAGACTGATAAATACTGTCCTTCGGAGTTCTGGAAAACCACCTTGCTAGAAAGTCGGCTGGATATGAAACCAGTTTCAACCGAGCTCTCGTTATCTGTGCCGGTGACGTTGCTGCTTGTTCCCCCGCCGTCACTACCCGAGCTCTCGTCCTCTGAATCGGACTCAGAGCCTGAGATACTTGACATGTCTCCTGTGAAGCAATAACAGAAAATCAAACAACTTTTACATACATTTGAACTGTCCTTCGCTTTCCTCTGCTTTCCTCACCCGCCCCTGTCTTCGTCTCAAACTCCTCAGCTGTGACTGTTGGCATTCCTGACAGCTTTAGTCTCAAGTTGAACCGATGCCAGTCGAGCTTGTAGTGCTCCATCTGAAATGTAAAGGAACAGAAAGTTCTCATCTGCAGTCTGAAAACATCAACACATGTTTGTTATTGTTTGGTGTTGAGCAGTCACCTGTTCCTCGCGTTTATTAAAGGGGCATCTGCAGGTTGAGCAGACCATCTTGTCTGGCACTTCTCTAACCAGACTGGACTCCCTCTGTCTGTCATCCTCAATGGATTTAGCTTTCACTTCTGTGTAGGATGAAACACAAGGCTACGCTTTAAACAGGCAGAAAGATTATCGAGGATATTGTCTATAAGCTCCAACAGAAATGTACAACCGAGATTCATACATGTTTTTTTCACATATTGAATACTCTATAACCACACGGTCACTTGCTGCTGGCACAACATTTAAACTAATACAATCTCTTTTTGAAAAGGCCATGAAAATCATTTTCATTTCACCATTGCACTGTTTTAGATAAACATAATAATTTTGTTCATTTTAAAAATGCATGTTTTATATAGAAAATTTTGCACGGACTTGCTCCTCCTCCTTTGAAGGACTTTATAAAGCTGAAGTCTGCCAGTGGGATCGGCACCAGGGGCCACAGCCCGAGGAGACTGTGAGGTCCCACACAGACGCACTACATTCAGACTGTTCTGTCAGTCAAAGGAACTAAATATTACTCACAATAAGAGACTCACAAACATATGCAACCTTCAAAACACACCTCAAACAGTGGATAAAAGAAAACCAAGTCTGTGACCACCTTTAACCTTTAACCTCTATTATTGTCTTGTGTCACTTGTGCCTTTGTATTTTATTTGTAATTTGTCTTTCTCTGTTACCTGCCTAGGGACAACAGATGGAACTAGCACTTCTGCTATGATCTGGCATTTTTACAGCTGTAATTGTTACAGCTGTTCATTAATATGCACTGACCCTAACAAATAAATAAATACATAAATAAATACATAAATAAATAAATACATACCGTGAACAGCTGGTTCAGTGTTTAGAGTCTGCATCAGGACGGAGTTCACGTCTCTCAGTCCCAACAAAGCGTCTTCATTAAGGCACAGATCAAAGACGGTGCGGTACTCGGGACTAGTCGTCATGGTTACAAGTTATTTTTTTAACCTACTAAATCATTGGAAACAGAAAATGAATGTAGCCTAATGTTTTGACTAAGGTTTTCCATAATAACACGTTTCATTCAGCAGTAGACGTAAACACTACAGTAAACTACACTAGTCTGTTAACAATGTAGTGGAACACATTACAACATTACAACATTACAACATTAAAACAACATTACTGCAGTGTAACAACATTACTGTAGTGTAACAACATTACTGTAGTGTAACAACATTTGATCATGTAATCTTAATGTTATCTTTGCTGATGTAACGTTGCTAACTGCTCTTTGAACGACACGTGTAGAAGTGATTACTCTTCATTATCCTCATCCTGCAGGTCTGTCCACCTCATGTAGTAAATCTTAATGTGATTATAAAAATATATATTTACAATTGAATGAAACAAAAAAGAAAACAACTTACCTTAAAAGGGTGTCACAGAAAGCTATGCTCCTTCTTCCTACTATATCCTCCTGACAAATCTACGGAAGCCCGAGAGCGTCAATAAAGCAGCAACGCGAGGCGTTCACTCTCCAAGGGTCGATGATCAGCGCGACATTATTACTGCAGTAGATTAATAAGCACACGTTTACAAACTTAATGGTAATTTTGTAACCATCAGTGGTTTTTTATAACTCTCTGACAAACTAACAGTTTAGGATTCCCCATCATTATGTTTTTAAGTTCATTTTAAGAGCAGAAAACAGTTGAATAAAGGATTGAAGAGAACTTTTAGTGCCATACATTTCAGTAAATTGGTTGTGGCTCTATAAAGTCATTTATACAGCCTACAGAAACATCCTGCTCAAAAAGACTCTTCCAGAAAATTGATTTCCAATCAATCTTTATTTAAAACCATATAACCTGCTGCAAAACCTAGTTTGTTCCCTCTGCAGGATGAAACTAAATGCATGACCAACTCTGTATTACCTCTTTCAAAAATCACATATCTATTTCTAAGCATGTTCTCAACTCTCAACTGAACACATGTGACAAGGCTGAATTAGCAAAAAAGGGTAAAGCCTCCTTTGGAACAGCAGAACTTGGATAAAAACCAGTCCTTACGCAAGTACATTTTTTGAACAAAGGCAGCCTTTAAAGTTAGGCATAATACTTTAAGGTATAGTAGTTTGAACCCACCTATTTCATAATTATTATTACATACAACACTTTAATTATTTCCCTTCTATGACTCCAGAGGAATCCAAAAATCTTTTGTTCAAGGATCTTAAACATAAAATGGACAGTGACAGGCTCTAGGAAGTGACATAAAAAGATGTGTACATTGTGGCTCAAGATCATTTACCAGATAGATCTTTGAAAACATGTAAGAGTTTTCCCCTTCTATGGTTTTAAAATGCTGTCAGTTTTAACCGTTTTGTTATAATTTATTGTACATAGACCCTTCAGATTCTCTGGAATCCCTATCACAAGTACATTAACCAGTCGGGAGGTTAAAAGGGTTACCTGGAGTTAGTACCCTTTAATGCACCTATTCTAAGAATATTACATCATTTGTTGAATTAAAAGTAATGGTCTTTTAATGAAATAAAATGTATGAAAAACTTATGCCGGGATATACTTATATTCTGCCAGCTTTGATTGGAGCTCCATCTCTCAAACTAGGCCCTCACCCCTTTACAGTATCAGTTAATTTACTTTCATTACTCTCTGGAAAAACAGTTTTAGCAACATTCATTTTCTGCTTGAATAGTTTGTGGCTGGAAAGAGAATAACTTATTTTATCCTATTTTTCTTCCTCCTTTAAGATATCTGTCTGTTCAGCACTGCCCCATTATTTGAATCAAAGTGAGGGATATTCTTTTTTTGAAAGTTTTCTTTGTTGAAGTTCAAGAACAGTTTCATACATTGTTCCATTCATTCTGTCCTTTTTCAATTCTAATATGACATACTTCAATTACACCATCCATTTCCCTCTGTTTACTTTCTACAGACAGAGATAATTAGATTTATTCATAGAATTATCTAAATAATTGGTCAGTCAGATTTTTTTTCAAGACAAATATGCAATCACATGTCCTCTAAATGAACATTTGAAAGCAAAACCAACAAGGGTTAGCTGTGCCAGTATCGGTTATACAAAAGTCACTAATAAACATATCAGTCTTACAAATAAATTCCTCATGTTGAAGACAACTCTGGTTGAATTTCCAATATTCTGGTCAACACCTGTTCTCTATGTTTAATGAAATAAAATGATCTGATCGTGTATTGTCCTCAATAAAAACACTTTTCATTTTCAAGATGAGAGAAAATGAAATTATAAAATAAAAATCCTAGCCTGGTTTTGTCTTCTCCAGGTATATCTAATCAATCAAAGGTGTTCTTAAGGTTATGGATTTTGGTGAGTGCATGTTGGTGGTAGAAGTAAGAGTTCCTTTTTCATCCAATACTCCATCTAAGGCAGTGTTAAAATCGCCTAACACATTACACACAGTGTGTACACACACAAGCGCACACACTTCCAGAGATCTGTCGCGTTGGACTATTAAATTCAAGAGCTTCAGAGACAAGATAAAATCCAACATTTATTAGGTATACCAATATACAATGTACATACTAAAAATATGAAGCACAATTCATAAAAAAAATTCACTTGGGTTTGCTTTGAGCTCTCTTGGTTTTACCAGATTGTGCATGGATCAAAGCTTGTGCTGTTATGAGACAAAACAGATTATGACAAATAAGTGTGTTTAAATAAAACTTTATCAGTATGGAAAATCTCTTTAAACTTCCCTTACCTGACGTATGACAAGCTTTAGCCTCTGCCAGACACTGCTTCACCTCTGTAATCTCTGCAGCGAGCCTTCTGGTCTTGTTTGTGACATGTTCACTCCTCTCTTGTAAGTCGTTCTTTTGACTTCTGAAAGTGAAATCATTATGGACAAGGAAACAAATTGGTGGTAAGCAGGGTTATTCTATCTCTTTATGCAGGTGACAGCACATTACCTGTCTGCAGAGTGTTGACCGTTCAGTTGTTCAGAGAGGTGACACTCCTCTTGCAGCAGATTACCCAGCTGCTGCAACAAATCAACAACTCCACTTTTTTCAATCATCAAATCCACCCTCCGCTTAGTTTCTCTGGTACTGAAAGGGAGAACAAGACTTATGGGAAAAAATTTAACTGAACAGACTCAAGACTGTGCAAAATAGTACTAATAGCCTGTATCATTTTTAAGTTGGTTTTTGTAACAAATCTGTATAATAAAAGTAACTCAATGAGTGTGAAACCTTACAAACTAAGAGGCCCAAATTACTGTTTTCAAAACAGACATTCTGATCTTTGCAGAACTAGGAAAACATAGCTAAAAAAATACATATAATTGAAGGACTTTCTCAATTTATGTGAACCGGGCCAGGCTATGCTTTGTGCATGATGATTTTCAGCTATGATAAGTCGAAATGCCATGTTGCATGTAAGACTAATTGAAATTGGCACATAACAAATCTTTAAATTGCAACAAATTAAAGCAAATCAACTTCGGCTATCTTGAATTTTGACCGTTTTAATTCCAATTTAATAGAAAGCCTTAGCATTAGCAACAGTGTGTATTATATTTATGTAAATTGTACATATAGTAGCCTATATCAAATTGTATATCTATATATATATAGATATAAATTGTATTAAATGTATAATTGTAAACATACTGTACCAAACTGTACAGATATAAGGATTGTATAATATATAAAATGTAAATATAGTACCTCAAATTGTACAAATAGGTATGTATATATAGATATAGATATATGGATTGTATAATATATAAAAAATCATAGTATATCAAGTTGTGTATATATGTATGGAAAATCATTGGATTGTAAATATTAAATATAGGATCATAAATATAGTATAGCAAATTGTATTTAGATAGATTGTATATATAGGGAGATTATAAAGAACACAGGAAGTTAATTTAATTTAATAAATATTAATTATTGAGCTGTGGAAAAGGGGTAGGATTAAATAAGTTTTATACTTCTCCCTACTCCTTTTCAGGCATATCAATTGAATATATGTAATTTTTAAATGTAAATAATTTGAACATTGTTTTTTGTTTATTGTATTTTCGTGCTTTTCATTTTATTTTGTATTTTTTATATGTTTGATTTTATTTGATATGTCTGAAATAAACTTAAGCAATCAATCAACCAATCAACCAGTCAACCAATCAACAGCGTCGTAGATCGGTCAGGCGAGGTGCTTCGCTTTCGTTCAGTTAATCCTGGTAGCTGATTGGCCAACCGATGATCACTTAATTACGTATGCGAAACGTTAGGTCACCGACAGGACGCAGGTGGAAACAAACTCGTACTTTTACACGTTGAACGCAGGTAAATAAATCAATATCAAAAGTACAATACCATCGAGTTATCTCCTTCTCGGCACTGAGTCTTTGCTGCTGCACCTTTTCCAGTTTTCGAGTGTTTTCTTGGATAGCATGCCGAAGTTCTCTGATCTGCTCCTTCAATTAACGAGACGAAGAACACCTGCTCAACACATTTTACATTTGTTTTCGAAGTAAAGCTGCATAAATCACTCTCGCCGTTGTTTCGGTAAGTTACCATTACATTTTCTTTACATTAATGCGATATGTTAATGAATTACTTATGTGTAATCTGTAGGATGCCGCACACTAGCAGCTAGCAAACTGAATATCAAACAAACGCTAAACATCGACTTTAACCTACCGAATAATTTTCGTGTTGTTTTGTGGTTTGGTTATTAAATGCAGTCATGGTATATTGTTGACTTAAGACAAAATTGTGTTGCAAAATTTGTTGCACGTGGCCAAACGAGAATCGAACTCGTGTCAGATTGTACTCATAGCGGAAGTTTATAAAGGGCACTTCCGGTTACCATGTCAGAGCCCGGATAGCTCAGTCGGTAGAGCATCAGACTTTTAATCTGAGGGTCCAGGGTTCAAGTCCCTGTTCGGGCGACAGTATTTTTCTCTTTTTTCACCTTAGTGTTCGTGAACATATGTTATTATTGTATGGGGTTTGCACAAGCTGCTGATCATCTGTTGTCAGACGTTAACATAGCACGTCTACTGTTGTTAATCTTTAGTATAGTAGAAAGAAAATAGTACTCTTGGTAAGGGCACAACGTATTTAAAGCCTGAAATTGCCACAAACCTGTGCCAAACATTAAACCATTGACTTTAAAGCTAGTCATTGAAGAGGGGCTGTTATTACACAGAGTGAGACCACACATTATCCTGCTTTTGGAGTTGTTGTTTATGTAAGAATCAAACTAATTTAGGGATTAAACTCACTCGCAAACAAATAACAATAACCCTGCAATTTACCTGAGAAAATCATGGGTATTATGTTAGCACAGTGATTGGGAACACCTATAAAGCTAGGAGTTAGTGCAGGTAAAATGGCAAGACTGTAGAAGTACTCTATCTGACTAGCAACTATGAAGTGGATTATCCTCTTGTGCTTGGTCTCCACCTCTCTCTCCTCCATACATACTCAGGTAAATATACATTGATTCTCATTGATTGGAGTTTAACCTTTACTCAAACATATTAAGGCTGTAACATAATTGACAATATATTGTACATCTTTTTTTTTTGCAGAAATTTTTCTTCAGCCCAAAATGGGGTCCCATTGGCTTTAAAGGTAAATACAGCAGGATTTATCTTAATGTTAATGTAAGTCTAACAGCAGAAATATTGCACTCGCTGACTAAAAAACTATTCTCTTTTAGAGCGCGGAGAGCATGGTGAGAGGACGGCGATGGATGAAATCATCAAAGCTAATGAGTTGCATGGTAAGTTGCACACAATTTACTCAAAATGTTTTTCTGTTTACACAACACGCTTGAAACAAATGAGCTCCTGTTGGCCTCTTCTGAATGATTCAATTTCCCTGGACTTCTGTCTCAGCTTCCCGAATCATAGACAGCACTACCAGCCTCAGAGAGGGAGACATCGCCGTTTCTTCAGGAAGACGCTCCAAGGTCTGCTTCGCTCGTAGCTGCCTCTGGAATAAGTCAGTGGATGGACGTGTCTATATTGCGTATAGACTCTCAACTGAATACAGTATGTTGTTTTGTGTAAATCAATGCAGAAGGTTTCAGTCTGATAAACTTGCCAACTTCAGATTTGCAAACTTTGGAGGCTATGTGTGGATTAATTTTTTTTTATTCTGCTTCTCTAATTTTTCCGAACGCCAGCTGAAATGGAGACAAAGCTGATAAAGAAAGGAATGGAAAATGTTGAGAAAGGTACCTGTGTGCGCTTTGTTCCTCGGACTCACCAGGAAGACTACATTGACATCCAAGCAAAGTCTGGGTGAGACCCAATTTTGAACCCACAATGTGGCAGTCTTTCAAATGTTGTGGAAGAGTTTTGAAACACAGAGTTGTATAGCAGCAGTTTGTGCAATTTAAATTAAAAAAACATCAATTATCAATACATTTAGGTGTTGGTCCTACCTTGGTGCGCGTGGTGGAAGACAGACTGTGTCCCTCCAGAGCCCTGACTGCCTGCAGGTCGGGGTGATCTCCCATGAGTTAATGCACGCCCTGGGCTTTGTGCATGAGCAGTCCCGCTTCGACCGAGACAGCTATGTCACTGTCATGTGGCCAAACATTTGGAGGGGTAATTTTAAAGAGGCAGGAAGGGAGGTGGGATTGGGGAATGAGATCCACAAGGTGTAATTCAAATAATATGTGGAATTAACTGTTTTTTAAATCAATTTCCACAAATTTGTAAAATACAAAATGATGATGAAGAAAATGCTCATATTTTATTTTTTTCTTCTTACAGACCGGTTGAGGAACTTTGAGAAATTCAGGACTGACAATCTGGATCTTCCGTATGACTATGGCTCAATCATGCACTACGGGATGTAAGCATTCATTTGATGTCAATTGCTAAATATACCATATAGTGAGTTTATGTTTTTGTGTATGTATGTGGTGTTGGATGTATTGTAATGTCACATATTTTATGCATATGCTTAGGTATGCCTACTCTCAGGATGGGGAGCCGACTATCGTTCCTAAGAACAGCAACACCAAGGACATAAAGCTGGGACAGACTACAAGTCTCAGCCACATTGACAAGCTGAAGATCAACAAGCTTTATAATTGTGGTTGGTATTAAACATGCTTCAAGGAAATATGTAGAGCTTGTAACTCTGTAAGAAAATGGGTAAATACTAACTTAACCTAAAATTAGACGTATCATTCGCTGTCATATGTTTGATACCTGTCTGCTTCTCTCTGCAGGTGACATGGATGATAACTAACCAAAGTGAACTGAGGTCAAACAGGAATGTTCTGAAAGATCATTGAATAAAAAACTATGTTATATCATGCAAAAAAAAATTCAATAAAGATTGATTTAAGCTTTACGGGACTATTTTCAATGTGTCTGTTTTGGTGATGGTGAGAAAGTGAGCAGGTTTGTTCTATTGTAGTCAAGGCAGAAACATAAGATCGTCTGGTTAAAGTAGTCATTTATATATACTTATTCTTACATCATAAGCTTTCTCACTAATCAGTATGAGATGACTTCATTGTGTGGAAGATGTAATCCTCTCTGCATGCATGCAAAGGTTTTTAAAGAATTGAAGGGTAGATCATGTGATCACATTAAAGAAAAAAGTAAAATAAACCTAGTATGTGTGTAAAACTGATTAATATTAAAAGTATCAAAAATGTAACATGAGAGACACATGGAACAAAACAAACACTTTATAAAGTCCTTCAGCTTCTGATATATCAAGCCAGGAATCCATCCGTATTTCAAACCAAGCACTCTTGAGATACAGAAATGTTTTTAAAAAGATTTTATGAACTGCTTATGGGAATTTCTTCAGGCTTTGCCCTTCAAATTGGCCCCTTGATAAATATAAATCATGTGCACAGAGGGATATGTCTTTTATCTGGAAAATATTTACTGTTATGACAAAACGATCTCTGTGAGGACAGTTATCATCTGATAGTTTATCACAAAATCACTGGTTTCCAGTACAGTCAGACACAAATTGCCAGTTCTTGGTCTGGCTGAAACAGCAACTGCTGAGGTGTAGTGCATCCAACTGCAGACACCTGTTAGTGTGTCATTTCTGAACGTGCTGACTCACGTATGCTAAGTACAGTGCCAAAGTGAAGGTCAGCATCAGGACCACCTGTTTGGGATCAGCTGTGCGCTTGGGTAAATTACATACCCTGGATGATTAGGGGTCTTAATCATGTTTCATCACAGAACATGTGCCAAATTGGTACAAAAAAGAGGAGGAGAAGTGGGTATATAGATCCAGTGCAGGGAAGGAGTTCAGTTAGCTGTTGCACTGGACTGAACACAACAATGCATTCGACTACGACCCTTTTGTGCGTCTTGTTGGGCTTGCTGAGCCATGTCTGCAGTTTACCTGTTAAGGTCAGTGTACCAAGAGAAATGTTTTTTGATAAAATTGGCCTTTGTATGTTGTCATGCTTGTAAACCAAAACTTAAATAATGATGCATTTTTGTTTTACAGAATTCTACTGGACTTCACGAGGGAAAAGTGAGACTCAAAAGGAAATACTCAGGTGGGCTAAAAGCTAAAATGCTTTTGCCTGCTCACTGCCACAAAACACTTTATTGAATTGCGATATGTTTGACCATAGGTCTTCTTCAGGCCATATTTTTTTTAGAAAACTGGGGGCCACATCCCAGAGAAGACCAAATGGTTGAAATGTTGTAACATTTATTTGTGGTCTTACACAAGTGTGCAGGCATAGCTTCCTCTTTTTCTTGCTGCTGTTTTTGAATTGCCCTGCACCCACATGACGCCGTATAACCAGCCTTTATTCTAAAGGAATAACTCAACACTTACACAGGCTTCATGAGGCATGCAAATCATTTTCTGTATTATGCTATTATTATTGATAATACTGGTAGAAAATGAAGTCTATCTTTGTTTCTGTGTTCAGATGAGTTGAAGGACCGTGATGAAATGAATGCAATGGATCAAATCCTGGAAGTCAACAGGAGTAAGGAAACTTTACATTTGATAAATTGTACTGTTGTTTTCCAGTGTTGCTGGTTAAATGTTTTTTTTTTTCTTATCAGAGTTCCGAGCCCCACGAGGACTGACTTTGAGGGAGGGAGACATTGCCAGTTCGCACATACGTAGTGCCATATCCTGCCCTGGCAATGCCTGTCTGTGGCCCAAAGCGATTGATGGATTTGTTTATGTACCTTTCATTCTCTCCCCACTATATGGTATGATTCAATCCACACATTAAAATAAGTGTTTCAAAGCAAGGGGGAGCTCAAATACTTCTCTTTAACTGAAGGTTTTTCTTATTTATTGCAGATGACATGGACAGAATCACCATAGAATCGGGGATGCAGGACATTTCCTCTACAACATGTATTAAATTTGTTCCACGCACTCATGAGGCCAGCTTCCTTGATATTCAGCCTAGATATGGGTAAGTATTTCTATCTTTTACATGTAAGGATGTACTGCGTGTAGGGTTCTTGTGTGGTGATTTTGCATTGCAGTCATGATGATGAAGTGTTACTTTTATTCTGCACCCAAAGCTGCTGGTCGTTTCTGGGACAGACTGGAGGAAGCCAGACCCTTTCCCTGCAGAGCCCCGGGTGCATGTGGTCAGGAGTGGCTGCCCATGAGTTTATGCATGCACTCGGCTTTGTACACGAGCAGTCTCGTTCTGACAGAGATCGCTACGTGTCAATTATATGGAAAAACATCATCCCAGGTATGGTTTAATAATGCTTTCAGAAAGCATTACCTGATTAGCTGTACCTGATTATTTCCTCGTCTCACAAAATGTCCTCTAATATTTGACAGACCAAATGCATAACTTCAGAAAACAGCTGACAAACAACCTCAATAGTCCATATGACTACAACTCTGTCATGCATTATGGAAGGTGAGCTGCTCTCTGACGCAATACAAATACAGTGTTTGCAGGATTTTTCTGGTAGTTTGAAAATACCTTAATACTTTATCTTGCATCTAGATACGCCTTCTCTGAAGACGGCGGACCAACGATCATTCCCAAACCAGATCCTTACATTCCCATTGGCCAGAGAGAGGGACCCAGCATGCTAGATCTTCATAAGATCAATATTCTATACAGCTGTGGTAGGTGAATGTACATATTTATAGATAGTAAGAAATATTTATTACATTAACATGAACTGATTATACTTGTGTTTTTCTCCTCACTGTAGGTGCCAATGAGTAACTGGATCCTGTATTTTTTATCTGTCACATTTGGGAAATGGTGCATCATAACTTGTGGTCTTGAGTAGGTTATACATGCAGCTTCACTCTACAGCAATTTCATTTTTCCTGACTTATATTTTGATTCAGCAGAAATTCTAGTGTGTAACATTGCATGGCATTTATTCTGTTCTGATTACATTCTACTAATTGATGATTAAGTTGATCTAAGAGAAATACAGGGACATGAATAACAGAGCAGCATTTTTCCAGTTCCGCTCTGTGATACATGTTATGTCCCAGCTGCTGCCACTTATCACTGCATCCAGTCTATGAATCAGTTTGTTCAATCTTCTGCCTCCTTCAGTGCCTTTTAAATAAATAAAAAAATGCAACAGTAATGGTCATGGTCTGTTTCAAAAATCTTTTGTTACATCTCTCTGATTTGTGGTCAATCTGTTTGGGACGGGGACTGTCAGTCTTGTCTGTTCAAATCTGATTGAAAGTTACTGATCCCTCTACTTGCATTTACCCATGTGGAATGATTTAGGTTTAATTCAAAACATCCACAAAAAGATACATATTAATTTGTAAATGTCAGGAGAGATCAAATTGAACGATTGCTCCAGAGGCTTGTACCTTTTGTCTTTGAGGTGCTTTCCTGTCTCTGCTACCTGACTTTCTAATGAGTAGCTAAACACATGATGGTGGGTATTGGTGATGTTACACTGAAAAAGACATAATTTCCTTGTTATATACGGGGTGTCAGGTATTGCATGCTTTTCCATGCCACTGCATAACAGTTAAAAAGAAAGGCAAAGAAACACAGTTAATAGATTATGAAGACATAGCAGGAATAAGAAGTTAGCACTTTGGCTGGCATTACGAGACTTGAGCCTCTTTTCTTATTTTTCAATATCATAAGACAATCCATTATCATCAAAATCTAGACTAATTGGAGAACTAGGCTACACCTCTCTCTTTTTACATTTGTTTTTGTGTTATGAAAGCTTAGCCAGTCCCCACACATTTCTCTACAAGACCCTGCAGTGTGGTATGGTTATCAAGGCATGTGGACTAGCCCCATATAACACAGTGATGACAAATCTATCTTTGAAAACCTGGTGTTATTGGCTGATGTGTATTATTTCAAAACAACAAAACAGTCAAGGTAACATCTGGTAAGGAGTTATTTCTATTATAAAAAATTATTGGACTTTTTCAAATAATTATAGCCTAATAGGAACCTTAAAATGCAGTCTTTATAAAAATAGAAGCTTAATGCATCGACTTCTCTTTGATGAGTGGATATGATCAAATTGGTTTCTGGGGTATAAAAAATATCCAGTTAGAGTCTGTGTTTATTAAAGAATAGAATAGAATAGATGTTTATTGCCATTTGCACAGGTACAGGACAGTACAGGTACATTGGAATTCTTGTGCATTTCTCCCTGAGTCAGCTTCTACAAAAAAAGTTAAAATTATATATAAAATAGAATAGCATTATAAGAAAAAAAGTAGAAAAGTACAAAAAAAGTAAAAAATAAATAAGTTGTAGTAACAGCTAAGTGATTTAAAATAAAATGTACAGAAGCTATACACTGTATTAAAGCAAATATATAATACAAAAAAAATAACAAAGGGGAACACTGTACAATGAAATGAAAATATAAATATGTTTTCTTGTCTCTAACTAAATGACAATTTATCAATTTATCTGTTTGTTTGTTTTTTATCCTTACTGAACATTAGAGGAAAATATAATGACATTTTTACCTTTTCATCTGTTCTGTTGATAACCTCTCATGGTAGGGACTTGATCATTGTACATTACACTTGGTTGGTGTCCCATCCGGGTCCTATCCCAGCAGCAGGCCTGAGGAGCGGAGAGCTGACATACAGAGGTCGCCACAGCAACACCTAACAGCAGGTCGTAGCAAGCTGGCTACTATTAGGGCTCAAACACCGTAACAAAGTCACAGGTGTAAACAATGAGCGATAACGACAAGGGATATGGCGAGCGGGTATGTATGAGTCTTGTTAATTCTTAAATATAATTTGAACTAATTTGCTTGTATTGCTCATTGAAATTGACACCGGGTGATTCTTTATAATGTATCGTGTCGCAGCTCTCCAAAGCTAACGTTAGCTCATCAGTGTTAGCTAACGTTAGCCTCTGTGTATGATGTGCAGATACAAACATACAGACACATGTTACCAAGTCGATGCTAACTTTAGCCAACCAGTTTACTCTTTTACAAATACATAAATATCTTTTGAATGTGTATCCTTACAATGACGAATTGTAATTGATATATCTACTTTTTAGACAATTTGTGTTATAAATACAGCAAGGTATGTCTAATGTTTTGTTACTCTGCAGAAACCTGCAGGATTATGGTTTTACAATAACAATACTTAATAATAATAGTAATAATAATAATAATAATTGAATAATTTTTACTTTATTAATTGTCGTTTGGTAGTAAACTGTATTTGGAGATGTCATCTTTCAGTGATATGTGTTAACAATTGTAAAATATCATCACGTTTTCTTTCATGCTGTCAATCAATGACATGATAATGTTTAAATATTTACACAAATGTAAAACAAAATGAACGGCCTCAACATTTCTGCTCACTCATTTGCTTTAACTTGCACATTGAACTCTAATTTGCAAAAGTGACATCGAGAACATTCTTCACTGCAGGAAACAGCAAAGTTTCCTGACTGCTGTCACTGGACTGACTAGTATGTTCACATGTTTTTAAAACACTGGAGCCAATTTGCTGGGAAGTATTACAGCCCTGTATATTTTCACCCTTTAAGATTTTTATTTTTTTTAAAGACCAATCTTAATCTTCTCATAATAAGTCCAATATGTTTTAATTAATTAAATTCTTGTGTGTATGTTACAATACAAGATCATAAAACGTGTGTTATATGTGCCGCACATTATATTTTTTCTCGGGTTATAGTGTGATCAAGATTATTGTAGGGCTCAACAGTGTGGTTCAGGAAGTAAAAACCCTATTCATTTTCTCCATAGCGGATTTGATTATTAGCCATAATGTCATAACCATCTAAGGTAGACTAACTAGCTACCTGAGAGTGGAAAGATGGTATATGCTCCTGTAGGAGAAACACGTTTGTGTGATATCAGCCTTGTTAAATAAACAAAACAAGATTTATTTTCATTTATTAAGAGTGTCACAGCGATGTCGCTTTTTAGTTGAGCTTTCTGTTACCATTGCAATGTTTCCCGCCCCTCGGCGCCTTATGTGAACAGATAGGTTCACATAAGACGCATAAAGTACTAATAACCTTGTTATGCAGCAGTGAATGTCATTTATATATTCCACAATATAGTACACTTGTATTAACAGTATCTATAACAATGAAAAAAGTTACTTTTAAGGTGAAGCGATATCATTTGCAATAGATTGTGGGATGAGTAGTTCATTCACTCGAATGAAAATTATGTCCACAGTCATGTACTTTTACCTTTTTCTCAGTCTTTCAATGCCGTTTTGGTGCAGAATTAACTGTACTATAGTCCTGAGTATTGGGGTAGCTGGTTGTCATGGTTCGAGGCTTCAGTCACTTGATATAAGGAGCCATTGAAAAATCAATGGAGGATTTTAATGGGGAAATTTACTTCTGGAACCAGAGCCGCCGAGAAAGTGGGCGGTCACTGTTGAGCTCTATTGAGGCAAGTTTGAGCAAATGAGTGGCAGCAGCATCTTGAGGTCATAAGGTCAACCTTAAAACAATATTTGTTTAATAAATTAAAGCTCTACTGAGGGAGGGGGCTGTTTCACATTCAGTGGTTTGATACTTACTGTAGTGCCTCTTAAACTTGACAAACAGTTTGACTGACGCAGACATTGCAGGACAATGCAATGTGTTTTTTGTAAATTATCTATTTTGTATTTTGGTGCAGCCACAGCTACTGTTAATTCATGTTCCGATATCATACTTGTCAAACTGTAAGATGCCATTAATACATAGCAGTGAATCTGAACCACTGAAAGTGAAATACTTAGAGCTAACATTTCAGATTTGTGTAACAAGGTTTTAAACATTCCCGTGCATGTCATTAGATTTTGATAACTTCTCTTAAAATTGAATGAGGGTACGGTTTTAATTGCAGTCATATATTCTTCATCCTTTTCTTTTCCATAAAGGTTAAGGTTGGACGAAGAAAATGCGGAAGAAGTCTCACATCCACTTTATTTTCAATAATATGAAGCTCACATGTGTGAAGCTCAATTGTTGGTTGCATGCTAAAACATGAGGAGGGAAGAAGTGTGGGCTGTGTGTGAGATGGGTGAAGTAAGAAGAAGTAAGACAATTGAAGAAAGAAGAATAATGTGACGTAATGAAGTTAAAGAAATGAAGTTAAGGAAGGAAGTGATCTGGATAAGGTCACCGTGCTAAGTAATTTTCTGGTCTGTTTGTCCATGCGTGCATGTTTTTTTTTTTTTTACATACAACACAACTTAAGTTAAAATCAATACATTTTTAGTTTCATTGTGTAGACAATCACATGAACATGTTATGATATATATTACTTTTCCTGTGAACAAACATAGAATTAAAATGCATTCCTAATCACATTCCTAAATTCTGTATTGTTTTTTCTCTACTGTTCACAGGATAGTCTTTAATCATTACTACATAAAATCATTTAGATTAATTTCCCCTGCTTTAGACCTTGCAGCTACTCATGTATGCTGAAAACTGGTGTATCGGTGTGTGTGGTTCGTTCAGGAGTCTCGCTCTGGATCCAGGAGCTTGAGTCCACAGGGCTCAGGGAAGTCAGCAAGCCGCTCCCCGGCTCGTTCCCCTGCACGTTCAAAAGAAGGATCTCGCCACTCCCACTCCAGATCGCGATCTCGTTCTAGGTCAAAATCTAGGTGAGTTAGAATTTTGTTAGAAGTTACAATGTCAAAACGCTCCTGTGTCTATTGAAGCAGCTTTAGTTGTAGTTAAAGTATTTATTTTTTCTTTTTCAGGTCACATTCCCGCCATGGCTCACGCAGACACTACAGCCATTCTCGCTCCCGCTCGAGGTCCTATCACCGCAGATCTCACAGCAGGTCCTACAGTGGAGAGCGCCGACGCAGGAGCCACAGCCGCTCACCGATGTCTAACCGCCGCAGACACATCGGCAACCGCGTAAGTGCTCAGTGGAACTTCTTTGAACAATAATTTTGTTATATTTTATAGAAAATCAACATCTTAATGTGGGTTTTTCCAGCATCAATCATGAATATATAAGCAGTACACGATCATAACAAAGCCTCAATCACTTAAACCTTCCAGGCTAATCCTGATCCAAACTGCTGCCTGGGAGTGTTTGGCCTGAGCTTGTACACCACAGAGAGGGATCTGAGGGACGTTTTCTCTAAATACGGCCCTTTGGCAGATGTTTCTATCGTGTATGACCAGCAGTCAAGGCGGTCCAGGGGCTTTTCTTTTGTTTACTTTGAGAACAAAGAAGACGCTAAGGAGGTATGAGATTATGGGTTGAGAAGGGCCAACAGCCAAACCTGTTTTTTTTTTTTTTTTTTTACTGTTTTGAAGTCTAATCGGGTCATTTACGTGTTTATTCACTGTCAGGCAAAGGAACGAGCCAATGGTATGGAGCTGGATGGTCGTAGGATCAGGGTTGACTTCTCCATCACAAAGAGACCTCACACACCAACTCCTGGAATCTACATGGGCCGGCCAACATAGTAAGTTGTCAATACCACACGACCACACAGTTCCTCCATTTAAAGGACATGGGCATTCTTAGTTTTAATCTGAGATTTAAAAGAAGAGTGCTTGAAACTCAAAGTCGTCAACAGAGGGCTGTCTCTGAGATAAATTGTAAAAAATAAATGCTCAAGGGCTAATGGCATTCATTTGGAAAGCAAGTCTTTACATGTGTTATGTTGAGATCATAATGACCACCTGTGACTATTAACATATCAGATATTTTGGGCTTGGGCAAGTTTAGCAGTAGAAGAAGTGCTATGTAATTAAATAAGTATTAAATGGGTGCTCCTGCGACTGAGATGTTTTGTTGCTTTGTTTGAACCCTTTTATTTCTAACTCACTCAGCATCTTGCAATCAGATCAAAAAAGAGAGAAGAAAAAAGGAACTGAATAGAGTTTGATATTTGTTTAATTTGTCTGAAATTGACCCTATGTATTTATTTATTTTTACTGTGATTGTTTGTATTTATTTCTCTACCTTTCGGTTTGACAATATAAATGCTCATGCCCCTTGTTTTTTCAAAGTTCTGCTCAGGAAGAACATTAACGATAGACTTGGAAGTACAGGGTAACATAATTATAGAAATAATGTTTGTATGACTAACTGTTTTTTCCCCTGCATAGTGGTGGAGGTGGTCCTAGTGGTCCTCGGCGTAATTCACGGGACTGCGACCGAGGATATGACCGAGGATACGACAGAGGAGGTTATGATCGCTATGACGACAGGGAGTACTACAGATCATACAGGTGTGTGATTTACACACACATTAGCTCTAAACTTTTCCCTTTTGTTTATATTTTAAACTGCTGGTGTTGTCTTGTTTCAGAAGGCGATCTCCGTCTCCGTACTACAGAGGGGCTTACAGGTCTCGCTCCAGATCACGGTCTTACTCTCCCCGTAGGTGCTTTTCAGAAAATACAAATTGTTTAATTAAGGAACTCAACAGATTACAATGTGTTGAACAATGACTGTTTTGTTTCACAGGTCGCTATTGAAAGTCCTCTCCTCTTTCCAAAGCTCAGAGTGGAAGTATTTCTGATTGGTTTGATTGATCGGCTTTCTTAAGGTGATCATCACACCTCTCTTTGCTTGTGTAAGTGAGTAGTTAACTTATCCTGAGATCAGTTGTGAAGCAATGTCATTGAGATGCACTAAGCTGTCCCCTCTTGTTTTTAATTTAAATGTATGGCTGGTATCAGCCATTATCAATATGTTAATGTTTGAATTTTTGTAAGCATATTCAGTGTAAATTCATCTTGAACATATTAAAGGAAAATGCCTATTTTCATTTTGGCTCCTGTCAGTCCTTTCAGCCCTTTAACACTGCTATTTGTTGCTTAGCCATTTAATTAGTGAAAAACTCATCATTTTTATTCTCATCCTCTACCTAGAAACCCTTTTGACAGGACAGTGTCAAGTCATTTCAAATGGTGCTTTGAAGAGATTAAAAGCTCCTATGTCATAGTTGATAAACTATAAAATCTATAATTAAGATGAGCTGAGGTCACATATCAAGCCTTTTAATACTGTTGTCCTATAAACACTCGTATACCCAAACAGAAAATTAAAATGTGTCCAAACAAGAGTTTTACAATTTGTCTGAAAAAACTGAGGCAGTAGTTTCAAAGTTACTAAACAGAGTAATAAGGCTGATTACTAAATCAAATTATATTGACATATATTTAACATATAGCCCTCCAGACATTGAATCTCTGCCAACATTTGAGGTTTTTGCACTAACTCTAATAATGATAAACTGAAAAAGCAGTTCAGTCTTAATTATCAGGCTAATACTGCCTGACTGCATTTTATAAATATGTCATTAAAATGCCACTGCTCATCAGGCAGGCACAAGTCTTAAACATTCTTCTAGCTGACTTATGAGGCTGACTCATCTTTGAGCAAATGCAGTTAAACAAATGAAGTTGATTTCAACATGTAGTAAACAAACTACTACTCACCATGTGGTGAATCGAGTCTAGAGAGAGAGAGAGAGAGAGAGAGAGCGAGCGAGCAGCTTGTGGTTGTTAGGGTCTTCAGTCCAACATCAACCCCTGCTGGTCACAGAGCAGTCCACACCTCTCCAAGCATCCATCACAGACAGAACACAATACCATTTATACTTAATTATTAATCATATTTTTTTGCCAGTGGTTTAAAAAATACACCTCAGATCCCCAGGTAAATAACAGTCAGCTTCTTAAAGGGCCAGTGCACTTGTTTGCCATCTAGTAAGAAAGATACTATAAGTGTTTAAGCTTTTTCTCTTACTGTCCAGATTATGGAATAATTTTTAAAGAATCTGCAAGGACAAAATGAGTGAACAGTTTTTCACTGTATTTTCATACCATTTGTTTTAAACATTTTGATAAACCCTCAGTGTAATATCATTTGATCTTAAGTGATGAAAATAATGTTTTTCAGTAGATTTAATAAAAATGCACACATACTGTATGTTGTAATAATTGTCTCTTCTCAGTATCATTAAGTCTTGAGAACATGTTATGCTGATATACTGATAGTAAAATAAATCCACATAGGAGATAATCCTTTAACAGTTAGTTCCTCAAACCGTACTAGTGCTCAATAATTGAGAAAAAAAATATTCACATGTCGGTGTATTGTGAAAACAACAAAGCAAATAAGAGCCTGTGAGGGAGTCTGGATAATAACAGGATTGTGTAAACTGTCAGGTTTTATCCCACAGCAGCACGAGGAACCTGTAAACAGGATGTCAACAGTAGTTTTATAATTTAATCCAATCCTAGTTTATATTTTATGTATTTTTTTTGGGAATGTCTCTTTAATCCAACCCCCCAGGCTGGGGAGGGAAGACTGTCATAATAATGTTGTATGGGTGAATAAACTGAACTTGTAACCTTGAATTTGGGTTAAAGGGAAGAGGTATTACAGTTTACAACCATCAGTAATGGTTGGAGGTATATTCAGTGAGAGCAAATAAAATGAACAGGAACACAAGAGTAGATAAGACAAATCAAAGTGCTCAGATTTAGAGGAAGCAGCAATAATAGACCCACACCTTGGACACTTCAGACATTAGTCGACATCCCCTCCAGTTTCAGAGATAGTCACTTTCCTTTTTTTGTCACTGACTTGCTCAACATTTAATCAAGAAAGGATGAAAATGAGACACACTGTAGTGACGTATGTATTTTGTTTGTCCACTTTCATTTGGAAAAGTAGACAGTTTACGTTCACATGAAGCGTGAGTGCGATTAATTAAATAAAAGATGTTTAATTTATAATAAATGTTTAAGTTGTAAAATGAGTACACTAACCATTCAATGCAGTCAATACATTGTTAATTGATTAGAACTGTGAACAGGCCTGCACACAAACTGTTGTTAGCATGTCATCAGGAAAGTAACTAAAGAGCTGTTTTGTAAATAGGGCACAGCTTGGACATTCCTCTGTTCACACACACACACACGCACATACACACACACACTGTCGTAAACAAGCAGAGGAATGGTGGTCACTCCTGCTGCTGGCACTCTCCTCAATACAGTAGGGTGGCAGTAATGTTCCAAGCGTTTCCAAGGCGCAGGCGAGTCACATGTAGAAACACTCAAATGCTGTAGGCTCAAAGCTCCTCCCCTTTAGGCTCAAAGCCCCTCCCCTTTTGTAGGTACAAGACTACACATCCGTGCACGAGCACTGCAGCTGTGGGTGTCCTACGCCCTCACCTTTTTTTACACTTCAGCCTTTGAGCAGAAACCCACTTTGCTTATTTAGCTTCCCCCTCCCCTTCTAGACACACCCACATGCACACACCTACATCACCAATAAAAAAAGATGCTATATCAAGTGTGTAGCCTGGAGTATGAGCTCAGACTGGCTGAGTGACACTGCATAGAGGGCTCCTCCCTCATGCAAAAATACAAGAGAGGGCCAGGAATCCCCTCAATTCTTATCAGCTTCTGCAAGTAAATATTTGCTCAGCTTTACAGTTTTTGCAGATGGATTATATCACTATCCACAGGTTGAAATGCAAAGTGAAATAAGTTGCCGTTACCTTTAGTTACACTATTTGTCGTTGTTGTTATTATAGGGAAATATTGTCTGCTGATAAGAATGAACTGTAAACTGTAGAGCTTATTATTCCACTACGTCAATAAAAGAATGGAAAAGATTCACTGTTTTATTGTTTCACTTTCTGTTTTGTTCCAACAACAAAAACAGGCATTCTCTTAATTTATTTGTAGTTTAGCAAATACAAAAAGACAAATTCTATAAAAACACTTCAAACCGGCCTCCATGGAGAGGTTTAAACCCCTTGCGTAGGCTACACTGCTCCATAAATCCATTTCCGTGTCACTCATAAATAAATAAAAGGCAAACTGTGGGGATCAGTCACACCGTTTGGGTCGACAACTTCAGTGACATCGACTTGATTTTCGTCACAGTAGCCCCCTTTTTTTTTGTTTTCACTTAAGCCAGTTGGAGGGACCCAAGGAACGGCCCTTATTATGATTTGATGAAATAACCCCTCTGCCTCTTTTAAGCCCATCCCTTTGCTGAATGCACCCAGTGATCATCATGCCACTTACAGAGAGCCTAATGCACTTTCTACGCCGGAGAATCGGGAGTGAGCCCACATGCACCTCCAAACAGTTTTTCTTGTGATTTTAAGAGAGATTTTATTTAGAGGCGGTGCTTGTTGGCTCCAGAGGGGCGTCGTAACGACACTTTCCCCCCCAGTCCCTGTTAAAAGAGTTAGACCAGGGCCAGAGTTGGTGCTGGGGGGTCGCTTATAGTTTAGTAATTTCCTGGGGGGTAATTGCTGCTGTTTATTTATTTTATTTTTTTCCAATCCGAAAACCTTTTTTTTTTCTGTTTAATTTCTATTTTCTTTTTTTTTTCTACTCTTTAATATCGCCGCTGTCTCCCTCTCAGATCTGAAACCCCTTCGAGATTTTTCCTTTCAGATCATGAACAAACTATACGTTGGGAATTTAAGTCCTTCGGTCACTGTCGAGGACTTGCAGCAGCTCTTAGTGGAGAGAAAGCTGCCAGTGGCCGAACAGGTCCTGCTCAAATCCGGCTATGCTTTTGTGGACTTCCCCGACCAGAACTCGGCCATAAAGGCTATAGAGATTCTTTGTGGTAAGTGTTGGATTTGATAAGTGATGCTGCTGGTGACAGGGGGGGGGAATAATTCACTGCGGGTCAAACTGCACGATCAGGTCAAAACAACAATAGCTCAGAGGTTTCCGAAATGTGAAATATGAATAATTAGCTTGTGTAAGCTCATATTGTTTTTAATGGTCGGGACAGTGTTTGCGATCACATCCGTGTGCCATCGGAGTTTAGATGAACGCTCAGCAATGTACGCTCCAACAGAAATGTGATAAATGATCGATCACAGGACACACTGAAGGCTTTAGTGCCCGTTTGTCTGAAGAAAACACGAGCCGTCGTAACGCTCTTAACGCGCACAATAACCTATATTTTGGAGATTCCGATAGTGTGGGGCGCTACTTTGCAATCACCCACTGGAATGTATGGGATGGTCTGATGGTTCGGGTAGGCATAATTATTTTTCACTTATTTTTTATCTTGATTTTATTGAGGAGAGCAGAGCGACGCGAGCGCGGAAAACTTGTCAGATCCATGTTCCTCTGGTGTCTGGGTATGTTTTTACGAGGTGTCTTGGAGGTGGGTCATGGGGGTCCAGAGGAAAGAGCTAATAAACAGGTAGCTGAGAGGGGGACGAGGTGAGACGCTAATTCCGTGCTGCGCCAGGCAGGGCCACTCATAATAGTTACGAAAAGCCGTGTTCGAGCTTCGCCGAAGAGCGCTTCAAATCCAGCTTCACCGGCTGGGACAACGAGGAGTAGCCTATTAAGAAACACCTACCCCAGGATAGAAAGAGTAACAAGCCATTCTGCTTTCAAACAAGCCCCTCTTTGATGTTGCATTCTTTACTCAGCGCTGAAAAAATACCCCTCATTGCACTGCGAGGGTTGTGGGAGTGGAAAGCATGGCTGCTCATTTCCCCACATAGTATATAAGCTTATCATGCTTCATTTTGGCGCCGATTCCCTCAGTTGTGACCCCCATAATGTCCCACTTTGTGTTTGTTTTAATGTAAACATAGCCAGTTTAGCCGCCGCCGTGCGCGTAACGCGTCCGCGTACAGCACTTTTTTTCGGGGGGTTGTCTGTTTGAATGGGGACGCACCTACTTGGAGAAGTGATTCAAAGTGTTACTGGAAAGGCCTACCAGCTTTGCATTGTTACTTTCATGACACACAGCTAATGTTAC